TAGCTTAATCAACATGAATTTGTGTCTTGAGGCCAAAACCATCTGAAATAATCAATGCAAGAGCAGACAGTGATTATTGATACATCGCCAGGTTTCAGGCGCAATTCATAGATGTAATAACATTAAAGATAATTATCTTTGCATTTGTTATAGTGCCTTTCATGTCAGGATATTTGAAAACTCTTCACAGAATTTTTTGAGAAGTGTAGTGACCATTTTGAAGGCGAACCCATAAGTTTTCATTCTTTTTAAATATCGAAGTAGATTCAGAACTTCTCCCACCCTTGATTTCTGCAGTAAGCATGGGGGCACACACTGGCTCTGTGGACAGATTGGAGTCCTGTTCTAAAATAAGTACATTAGGGCCTAATAGCAACTCATAGAACAGCTGTCAACATTGTGCTATAGGCAGTGCAGAAAGGCTCTGTGTTTCAGGAGGGACATTAAAAGATTGCTGCAAAACTAATAAGGTGGCAAATTAGCATCAGTTTGAACTTGTGAATAGTGTATGTTCTTTAGTCACTAAAGAAGTTGTATCCCCATATCAAACACATTTTTTATATGGAAGGAAAATATATTATTTTCCCGGATATGGAAATTATGCAACAAAATCCAATGATGTTCGATTTAAACCAGGTTCTTGCACTTGTTGCTTCATGTAGTTTTAATTTAATACGATGAAGTTTAGGATCTTTATACTGTGTTGCATAAGGTGGATCCCATTATTACAATTGAGTTGATCGACAAAAATAAATGTAAAACAAAATCATTCCCATATCATTCTGTGATTATTACTTCAAATCTCCTCCAGAGGTCAGCATTCATACCTTACCCAGCATCTCAGTGCAAGGACCATCTGAAGCGTTGGCTCTCAGACATGATTGAATATAATTTGTTACAGGCAAACATGTGGATGTAAATGAATAAGCTATTCCACCATTTCCCAGTTAGAGATTCTTCAAGGTGCTGTTGTGCTTCACAACAAATGGGAGCTTGTTAAATGTTAAGGTTTCTGCATCCAGTTGTGGTTCAATGCTGGCTCAGAAATCCATTCCTTTCCTTTACACCAGCAGTATTTACACTTTCAGCTATTAACATCACCACACACCACGAACACTGTTAATGTTCAAGCAACGGGCTTTCCACCAGCTGTGGAGATAGCTGTGGTGGTAATTATTTGAAGTTGACAGTAATAAGCTGATTCAAATTCTCAGCCAATTATTGTAATGCCTGAACGCCTTAAAAACTTCTATCTATCAATCTATCGTTCACCTGAAAAATGCAAGGATTAGTAATAATAATAAAGAATACACAAGAATTAATCCCTTTTGGTAACATTCTGTACGTTCACCCGCAAAATATGCAGTCACTACATTTTGTATTATATCCTGTGAAGCACATTAAGATGTTCTCCTGACATGAAAGGTGCTATAGCAGACGTAAGGGTTGTTAGTGGTAGTATTTGTGTATATTGTTTGGTGTAAATGGATGTTCACCTACAAATATGTAGGTTGTTGTATATTATATATTACATCTGATTTTGGGATGTTTTGCCTCCCCTCGACTGTGCGTTCACTGATTACTCCACTTACGAACTGACCCCACTTAACTTAACCCTCTGCAGTGTTGAGAGATCCATTTCATCCACAAAATACAGTAAATTCATTTTACAGTATATTCTGTGAAGCGCTTTGGGACATCCTGTAGACATGATAAGGCGCCATGTCAAATGTAAGGATTATTATTTTTATTAAATAATTAGTCACTGCACTGCGTAGTAAAAACTTGTAAGATTTTTCAATGACACGGTAAGGCTCTATATCAAATGCAAGTATTATTATTATTATAAAGGTTCTTGCGAGACAATAACACAACCGTTGTTTTCTACAGTGACTGCTACTGTGATTGTGGAAATCACTCCTATAAATGATTTCACCCCTAAGTTTGAGAACAATTTGTACACCTTTAATGTCTTTGAAACAGAGCTTGGTGAGTCATTATATATTTTTTGTCAATAGTGATACGTTACATATTTTTAATTTAAGCTACATATCTTGTGTTTTTTATAATTACTGCAATTACTGTTATTTTACTCTCTGTTATTGTCTGATAATGTCAAAACAGACACCTCCTCCTGATACTCTGACTCGAATCAATGAACTAAACATGCTGATTTGTCTGAAGTCTTACTCCACCTGTCTTCTGCCACTTGTGAAGAAGTGGATCTCCAATGGGATCTCTGGGCTGCAGAATTTACACTATTTCCATAACATCGAAGTGACAAAAAAGCATCCGCTCATGTGCAAATCAGCTCTGTGCAATTGTTCTGAAGTGATATTTGGCACTTCATTTCTGTCCCCAAGAACCTTCCCAATAGCTACAGGCTTGCAAGTCAAAAGTCACATCATGAGCATTAAAGGGTGGGCTGATCCTTTATCCTGGCCAGAAAAGAAGTCAAGCATTGCCTGTCTTGGAGCAATGTGGACTCATTTATTTTACTGCTGTTGAGATCAAGGCTGCATCCAGTAACTGCATAATAAAGCAAATTGAGTATCAAATTGCTCCAATTCCTTTAAGTCAAGTCACTTATACTGTAGCGTACAGCAGGGTGGCTTGTGAACTAGATCACAACAGTGCTGATTGTGCCCACGCATGAAAAATTGGGATAATAGAAGTCTATGTAATGATGTGTACATCAATATATAGCAATTATATAGGTAGGTATTGAAAACTTCCCTCTCCCATCCCAACAGTGAATCAGTTTACTACTGAATTTAATATTGGTGAATTGAACCGTAACCTAGCAACGAAAGCCAAGCAAACCCAAATTACACATTATTAGGCTCTTATGTGATGGATCTGTTTACTGGGTTGTCATAAAAACAACAATGTGATTGAAAGACATTCAATAACTTCACAAGTGGTTTGGTTCTGAGAATTGGGATGACAATTAAGAACCATGTGTCATTTTCTTTGGAGATTTTCATTCTGTTGCGTTATGATGTTTGGCTGCATGATAATGCCAGAAATAATGCTTCAAAATAAGAAAAAGACATTTGGGACACTTTTTTGTTTATTTTAGTTGTGTAGAGCCCTCTGTCTCCTCTCAGGGACTCTATCAAAATATTCTGTGGAGAGGAATTTAATAGGGAAAATAGCAGTTCTTATTGTGTATTTGTGATGTGTTAACTGCTGAGATTTCATCTGAATTTAAGTTTCTTCCTTGTTGTTATTGTCTCTTGTTGATTTCAGTCAAATGAAAATAGTGTTTGGGCTGACTTTTAAAAGGCAAATTAGCTTTGGGTTGGGATAAGATTGTAAACTCACACGATTAGTTTGGATGAAGTAGGTGCTTTGGCCCATCATATCCCTCCAGAATACCCACCCATCACAGTACCAACTTGCTTTTTAAATGAATCAAATATCCTGGCCTTAACCAACAACAACAACAACAGCAGCAGCAAAATTACATTTATAGAGCACCTTTCACATTGAGAGGAAGTCCCAAACCAGCCTTTCTAGCAACCTGTTAATTTCTAGCTTTACATTGTGACACTAAAAAAACTGCATTCAAATGTCAGGAGTAACTTTTATTGTTTAAAATGTTAAGCCCATGTTATGTAACATTTAACACTTAAAATGCAGAACCTCATCACCCCTGAATGACTGAACACTGCATTCTAAAGGTTAATATTTCTAGCACATTTCAAAAATGAAATTGCTTTCTCTCCTTAGCAACCCACAAGATTGGAATGGTACGTGCAACTGATAAAGACTTTCCACCAAACTCAGTGACTTACAGGATTGTTTCTGGAGATACAGAAATTAGAAAACGGTTCTGGATTGACCCTAAGGAAGGAATCCTAGAGCTTATAACCCAGCTAGACTACGAGTCTTTCGAAACACACACTTTGACTGTGGAGGCTGTTGACAGTGATCCGAAGATGCCCAAAACTGGAACAACCAATGTAAGTAAAGAGGAGAATATCTGCTTGTGCTAAAGATAAGAGGTTGGGGAAAGTGAAGCCATAGTACATTAGAAAGTATTCCTGCAAGTTAGAACCTCTGTAGAGTTAATTCAGGGTATACAAAATTCGCCTACAAAATTCGTCTGTTTACTTTACAGAATATCTGGTGAAGCGCTTTGAAACGTCCTCCTTACGTGATATCACATTGTTCCTTTCTTTTCTGTTAGATTCTTATTGAACCGCCTGACGATTGTCCTAAGAAATAATACAGTAAAGGCTTTTATTTTATGAATTGGGATAAGGCAGGAATATTGGTCAGGACACTATTCTTGGTGCTTGTCGAAGGCAAGGGCTCAAATCCTCAATCTCTTCATCCAGATGTATGATTGCCACAGATCGAGCTAAGATGATACAGTATAATCAACAACATGTGTTAGTGTTTGCCATATCAGTTGACAATTTAGGATAGTAAAACAGCAAAGGGGGAGTTTAAGATTTCTTTAAGTGTTGTGACGATGCAGTGGTTGAAGCAGATTCCACATTAGTTTTAAGGAGGAAACAGGATAGATATCTAAACAGGAGTAATTTGCGGTGGTATGGGAACAAAAGGCAGATAAGTGGGCCCGAATGTATCGTTCTTATGATATATGATCATTCTTTCATACAGCCAGCACAGGCACTATGGCTCAACGGCATTCTTTAATGTAAATTTCTAATGCTTTTAAGTTACCACCTTTCTTAGTGAAATCTTCTAAACCTTTTTTCAACAGAGGGAATGTATAAATACTCATATTAATATAAACTGATGTGATTATTAATGTTGTGTAAGCACTTAAGTCATTCTAATCTTTCCATTTCTTTTATTTAAATGTCTTGCATTAGGTTACAATTAACATAATAGGTGAAAATGATGAAAAACCAATTTGCATCCCACTTACATACACCTCAACATTGCTCGATAATGTTGCTGTTGGGACCAATATCAATGGTTTTAGATTAAGTTGTAAAGATGGAGATTCGAAGGACAACGAGATGAGGTTTGAGATCGTATCAGGTACATTTTATATATTTGATTACAGTATGAAATATAAATGCTCACAGTTGATTGGCAAAATAAATTGTCTCGCATCAACTGCATTGAAACCATGGAAAAGACAATCTTTGTTAATATTTATTATTGTGCATTTAGCCTACAAATTTGCTCATGCTAGACATTACAGTAAATCCTTAAAGTGCTTTGAGATGGTATCCCAACCTGAAACGAGTTATACAAAATACAAAATGTATCATTATTTATACTGAAAGAATTAGCATTTTTCTTGATTCTAGTTTTAGAAGCTAATTTCACAGTATGAAGCCTGTTGTTTTAAATCTGCTCATAAGGAAATCTGTACACATTCCAGTGCATTCCCCTGATTTTGTTCCCAGTTATTCTGTAAACTGATTTTTGCCTGGTTTCACAGATGCATGTAACTGGAAGGGAGGATTTTTAGGTGGAGGAGAGATTTTCAAAGCTCCTAGAAAGCAATTCGGCCACCAAATAGTGTTTTGTTTTTCCTGAATAATGTATCTTGACCGCCGCTAACAAAAATAAATGCTCTCACTCCTCCTCTAACCAATGTCTAAATGATATTGAAGGTATCAGAGAATATATGGAATCCTCTGAGATATTTCAATATGATTATATAATAAAAAAAACCTTGCATTTGATATAGCGCTTTTCATGTCTTCTAGACGTCTCAAAGAGCTTCACAGAATATACTGCAAAGTAAACTGACTGCATATTTTGGGGCAAAATGCAACAGCCAATTGTGCACAGCAGTGTTTCACAAACAGTCATGATTGAAGTGCCCAATTTATTGTTATTTTTTTTGAAGGAATTATTACCCCTGGAAAAGCAATCCGCCAATCGACTAATAACCGGGTTCCTACTTACTGCCAGGCAAACAGAGTCATGTGGAATGAAGGAGAACAGGAGTTCTGGCCTGAATGACTGATAGTGACCCTGTACAAAAATTGCTCAGGCTAGTGGTCTTATAATCAGCATAGAGTAGGTTAAACTGGAATGGACCAGATTTCTGCTCAAGGACGGGGAACAAAGACAAGGAAGAGTAACGGAATAACAAATTCATATTAGGACAGTGGGAAGAGACGGAGTTAGGGATATGAAAGACAGTTAGAAGGGGGTGGTATTAGAGTGGTAGGTACAAAACTTAATTACAGCATTGTGATTGGTGCATTATACCTATATATGGAATGTGTGCCAAGTATTCTTTGTTCGAACCACAAGAGTGTGCCTGGACTGTAACCTGTTTGCAGTGCGGTAATAAAGAAGAACTTTTGAAATCTACCTGAAGTCTGAAGATTATTTTACACACATAAAGACAGTTTAAGAAGTAACCCAACATGGAGTAAGGAAACTTGCCCAACATTTCACCCTGCCGGAAATCAAACCCAGGTTTCTCACTTGCGAGTGCTCTAATCATTGAGCTATAGACTCCACATAAATGCAAGATTATTCTTTCTTTTCTGCAAACATACAATTCAATATTACTTATTTCAACTCTTCTAACTTAGTGTCTTCCCATCTTATCCCTGTTCACTCTATCATTCTGTCCTAGTATTTTCTTTCCTTGTTTTATCTTTTCTGATGGGAGTTTATTGAGAGAATTTCTCAGGGAGTTTGTTAGAATTGGCGAAATCATCAAGTGGGGCTGGAGCCTGGTTTTTGATCATGTTTAACAGTTTAGATCATGCTGCTTGCATGTGTGATTGATACATGCACATCACTACCTAGACATGCTAACTTGCACTTGTTCACACAGAGATGAAAATGTAACCTTCTGTCTGTATTTTGAAATTCTGTAATATTTGCTACCAGAATGTTTCTCCTGAGATGGAGTGTGGAGTAATAAACACTAATGGGTTTTGTTATCTATTGTCTTCATCAGTTAAAGTGGAAATTAAATCTAAAGAGAGTACTTTCAGTATGTTGGAAATAGATGGAAACATACCATTATAGAAGTATCATTTTTCTGGAACAAGAAAGAATGGGAAAGAAGAGAGAATAAGGGGATGGAGTAATGACTGGCAGTTCACCAGATATTAACAGAACTGTGCATTTGTTAGGCTGAGTTCTTCCTATTATAAATAATAAATAAAATAAATAATTGACAATAAACATATGACACAGCTCCTTTCATGTCAGGAGGACATTCTCAAAGAGCTTTTCTGGATTTACTGTAAAATGTAGTGACCATTTTGTAGGTAAAGTTTAACCGTTTAAGGCTTCTTTCACCAGCTACAGGATGCATGACTTTCAATTACCAAAGATTGCATTCATTCTGCCATTTCATTTCAAACCATATATCCTTATTCTGAACTACTTCAATCTGCAGGAAATGTGAACAATCATTTTGGTTTTGACCCATCCCATGGATCCAACACTCCTAAATTGATTCTCAAAGCTCCATTTGACTTTGAGAGTCGAGTGGACCATCTGATGAGATATCGCCTTTCAGTTCACATCATAGATGACAATGTTAATAATTCCAAACCAAGGACAGGCAGTGTGCTGATTGACATTACTGTGATTCAGACACAAACACCACCTCCACCAACAACAGCCTTTTATGTAAGTGTTAAGCAAATTTTAGGTACCACATTATGCTAATAGTTAATGCTCCACAGCTGTACAATTATTGCAAACATTTGCAGAAGGAGACTAATTGGGCAATGATTGTTCTTCTGTCTAACTCTTCAAAGCTTATGCTTGCATTTCTATTGTTTCAAGCAGAAGGAAAATGCTTATGTAATTCTGAACATTATTGGTGCAGTCAGGTATGGCTGTGATCCTTCTGGGATTTAGATTTGGGCTGCCTCTATTCGGTTCATACATTCAGTTCCTTGGAACATGTTATATATTTTCTTTTGGGTTAAACAATGGTAGGAAATTCTCTGGTAAAGTAGCCACTTGCTGTAGATCTCATCCCAAGCATGCTAATGGTGGAAGTTAATGATTATAATAATTCATCATAAAATTACACAACAAAATATTCACTGCAGCAGTTGGCCTTTGCACTATTCAGATTTTACACTGGCTTTTTGAAACTCGGATTCAGAAATTTAAAACTGATCAACTTGATAGAAGCACATGCTCCGAAACATGAGATTGTTATAGGTCAGAAACCCATTTTAAGAAACATTAACTCTGGAAAGATGAGAGTTGATTGTAACAAAAATGAACAGATGTTATCACTCAAAGCCAATCCATTACGAAGGCTTCCTGATCCACATTTGTCCAATAATGTGCCTGCTGAGCTGTGCAATTTTGTATAATTTTCTCTTTAATGGTCTTTACATAGGACTTAAGACCCTCATTTTTCTTTGTTTTCAAGTTTCTCCACCAATTTTCCATTTTTTTGTTAAAACAGATTTGGAATACCAGATCTAAGCAAATCGATGGTTCAATCTCCAGACTTCCTATTTCCATCTATTCGTATCAAAATGTTCACTACCATTAGCAAGCAGAGGAATTGTGTCACCCCAAAACTGGTTACCAAATTAAATCCTGTGCATTTTGTATCTTGTTTAAATAGAACAGAAAAGGACTAACCATTGTTAACAAAGAAGTCAACACCTACAATGGAGCTGACTGGTACGTTGCCTTAGTTTTCACACTGTTGGCAATCCTGGTGGCTGGTTGCCTTGCTCTAATATTTCACCTCATTTGGAAATACACCAAATGCAGAGAGAGTTGCCAAAAGAGCTGTGCACGACAACCCAAACCCCAACAAGCAAAAAAGTAAGTAATTTCAGATTTATTAATTAATTATCATTGATGAATGAATGAGTCACTCTCAGTAGCTCTAGATTTGAAGCATCATCAATTGGAAATTTCACGTTACAATTAATTTCAGAAATCATTGATGACAAAAGTGATCCTTTGTATGACATAGTTTGGTAGAAATATTAAGCTCTCGAAGTGTTCTATCCATCAATAATAAACAGATATTTAAAATAAACGAAGAAAGCTGATACAGATAATTTGCTGCATATCTATAGAAATATGAAATAAATTATTCTAGAAATGTTGCAATATTTTATATCACTTTCCGTTAACTCTGCATTTGCTTTTATTTTACTTTCTAGAGTAAAAATCTACACACCAGGTGAGTGATTTTGCTCTGTTTGCAAATGAGCCAAATTATAAACCAGTCAAGCTCTGTTATCCAATACATCTTTTGTACATTACCCTAAAAAAATTACCTAATAAGTGTTTTTAACAAAAATTGCTTGCTCTTTTTCCAAAAATAGAACCTAAGAAGACAAAAGTAGATGTTATAACGGTAAGTGATAGCTGACCCCTGTTAACCCCTGTTTCATATTACAAACGTCAATAGTTTGATGTCATTCTGTCAAGATTCATGTACTCAATAAAAGTGAAATAGGTTCGGAATGTGAAACTTGGAAACAAAGAAAAATTAGGCTCTTAAGTCCTATGTAAAGACTTTTAACTGACTCGGTTTCTTCAAAAGGATAAACAATTCTCGGTTATTACAAAAATCGAACAGAACTTCAAAACAGAAACTATTACAACCAAATAAATGTTCTGTTCATTTGAATCAGACTTAAGTTAATTGCATGGGGGGAGAGAGAGAGGGGGGGGAGAGAGAGAGTAGGCGGGTGAGAGAGAGGGAGGGGGGAGAGGGAAGTGGGGAAGAGAGGAGGGTGGAGGGGGAGGGACAGGAGAAGGGGAGATCTCAGGATAGGTGGAGAAAAAGAGGGGGGAGTGGGGAGGACACTCTCTCTCCCCCCCACCCCAGGCACTCTCTCCTTTCCTCACACACTTACTCTCTCTCAATTACTCTCTCTCACACCCCTTCTCACCCTCTCACACTCTCTCTTCCCTCTCACACTCCACATCCCTGCCATCCCCCATCTCAATTACTCGCTCCCCACTCTCCTTCTCTCCCTCTCTCCTCTCTCACACACTTTCTATCCCACACACACTCTCTCAACCACCCTCTCTCAATCTCCTCCCTCTCTGTTTTTTTTGCTCCCCTTTGCTCACATTTACTCTCTTACTTTCTCTCGACTTCTACCACTCTCCCTCTCTCACACTCTCTTTCTCATTCCCCCTTCTCTCTCTCCCACTCTCTCTCTCCCTCCCACCCTTCCTCTCTCCCCCAATCTCTCTCTCCTCCCATCTCTCTCTCCCCCCCCCTCTCCCCCCCCAATCTCTCTCTCCTCCCATCTCTCTCTCCCCCCCTCTCCCCCCCCATCTCTCTCTCCTCTCATCTCTCTCTCCCCCCCTCCCCACTCCCCCCCCCCCCAAGCGCGGGTCACTATCTGCAGTGGCAGGAGCTGGTGGTTTGTTGCTAAGGCCCCGGTTGGTAAGAGATGCCCTTGCCTTCCTGACAGACTGCAGTGAAGGCTCTGGGCGCTGGGTCCACCCGACCGCCGGCTCCTGCCGCTGCCCTGGGAGGACGTTCCCCACTCCCCCCCCCCAAGCGCGGGTCACTATCTGCAGTGGCAGGAGCTGGTGGTTTGTTGCTAAGGCCCGGTTGGTAAGAGATGCCCTTGCCTTCCTGACAGACTGCAGTGAAGGCTCTGGGCGCTGGGTCCACCCGACCGCCGGCTCCTGCCGCTGCCCTGGGAGGACGTTCACGGGGGAGGGGGGGAGGGGGTGGAAGTTGGAATGGTAGAAATGGTCTCAGGCTGGATAAAATCAACCGCCGGGCCACTGTGGCCTGAGTGCTGCCTGTTGGACCACAATGATCTACAACAACAACAGCAACTTGCATTTCTATAGCGCTCCTCATGCAGGGAGGACTAGACTTACTCAAAAATGTGTTTTCCCCACAGGAAGTAACAAAGTACAATACCGTTTTCAATGGGGAAGCAAAAGATCCAGGTAATGTACTAATGGGGCTGTCCCAACCAAACAAAGTCTGTTTATACAGAGTCCGATTTTAGATTAAACACTTTGCATGTGACAAATGCAGCACCAAAGAGATGGAGACCTGTAATAAAACTCGCAATGTTGAGTATTGGGATTTTCACTCAACATTATGAATTTTCTATCCTGAGCTAGACTATTAGAAAAGCTAAACAAGGTAAAAGGAGTGTCTTCAGGTGTTCTGGTCAACAACTTTCTAGGTAAATTGGTTATGCATGTCATGGCTTTTTTGAGAGTTTGCTGAATTTGCACAATCACTTACGCTTACTAGCAATTGCCCACAAATTGTTTGATGTTATAGATGATACATCAAATACAAGGATTATTATCATTATTATTTGAATGATTCCTTTTCTCATTGATCACCCAAGTGTATTTCTTGGTTCGTCTGACTAAAGCAGGAGCAGAATTAAGAATATCTATCTAATATATTTATCTAGTACAAAGATAAGCAAAGGTTAGACTGCACTTAGACCCCATTAAAATGGGACTCTAGACCAATGAGGAGACATAGAAACAGGAATAGGCCATTCAGCCCCTCGAGCCTGTTCCACCATTCTATAAGATCATGACTGATCTGTATCTCAACTCCAATTACCCGCCCTTGCCCCATATCCCTTGGCCTAACAGATATCTATCCACATCAGTCTTGAAGATGTGAATGGATCCAGCATCCACAGCTTTTTGGGGGAGAAAGTTCCAGATTTCCACTACCCTTTGGGTGAAAAACTGCCTCCTAATTTCACTCCTAAATGGTCTAGCTCTAATTTTAAGATTATGCCCCCCTTGTTACGGATTGCCCCACCAGAGTAAACAGTTTCTCTGCATCTACCCTATTGAATCCCTTTATTATTTTAAAAACCTCAATCAGATCACCCCTACCTCAACCTTCTACACTCAAGGGAATAGAGACCAAGAGACTGGATATAAGGGATGTGGTACAAGAAGAGAGAAAGGCAGCACATGACATCAATCAAAATATATTTAAAAAATCACAGGTACTTTAATAACATCAATAATAATTCCTTCTCCGATTTAATTAATTGTAAAATATAGTCTCAGGGAAGTGGTACGAATACAACAGTGAAACAGGAGCCAGGAAATGGAAAGGTACAAATGACCCGAAGGAGATGAAGGCAGATGAGATGGCACTGAATGAGCTGAGCACAAACACTGCAACGGAAACCCCTCAGTCTGTGCAACCCAGCCCACTGAAAGAGAATGAATACTCCACGGTGTAGAAAGAATGCTATTTCAATAACAATGCTGTGTTCACTCGCTCGTTAATCATTACACAATCTGCAGAAAACACACCAATAATTTAGAACAAATTGACTGGTGATTGTTTCAAGTCGAAATAATAAATATTTAATGCACATGATGAATCCATCAGGTTTTAATTGTTTGCCAGAAACAACCTTACTACCAAGGAAACACGTCCTCCATCTTCCAGGCTGTACTTTATAATGTTAATGTCCTGCAATTATAACAGCTATAATATTTATTTAATTGAAGGCGATTTTGGGAAGAGCAGACTTGAACAATAATAATAATAATTAAATGCATTAAAATGTTTAATGTTTGAAATGCATTGATTTACCTGTAACTGTAATGTTTAAATGATGAATGTACTTTGTGAAAATGTTAACCTTCAGCTTCCACTATAAAGACACCTTCAAAACCTTTGTATCATTCTGATGCAATTAGTCATCAAATCTTATATTTGAATTATGTTTTTTTACCAAGCCTTGAAACTATAAAAGTCTAAGCAGCAAATAATAAAATCAATTCATAATCCTAAATTGTTGAATTACTTTGACTTAATAAAATAATTGATCTGTTTTGACAGCCTATGCTCAATAACATGATTTGTTTTACTGGGGGTGGGGAGTGGAGTACCAACTATTGATTGTATTTGATTTCACTAATATATTCAGTGTTCGGTGTTGCAAATCACAAACATAAAAAACATCAAACGTTTAAAATGTCTCTGTGTGGGCAAGGAGCAGGAGAGATGTAGGATAGAGTTCATATGAGAGATGAAAGTGAAGGGGAGAAACCCTCTTATTCAATAGTTGGGCTCTGATACAGACATCCTGCATTTGAGCTGTCTGCATTTGAGGAACTCAAATATCTACTGCTCATTTTCAGTTATAAAGATAAATAGTTAAATATTGATCCGCTGTAGTTGTGAAGAGCATTGAGGAAGTTTTTATGGTACGTGAGGATGTTTCAGCTCAATGACACACATAACTACAAAATACACAGTGACTACACATCACAGGAAAACCTGTGAAGCACTTTGAGGCATCCTCCTGATATGAAAGGCACTATGTAAAAAACAAGATTTTTTTTATTATGACGTATTTTAAATAAGTACTTTACTCACAATGTCTGTTTGGACACAAGGATTCCCAAATCCTCTTTGAGAAAAATTTGACAAATCATCCATTCAATTGACGTTGCCTCTTGAAACTGGTGCAATTATTGTAGTTTGTTATTTTGCCGATACAAGTTCTTGAGTAACCCTGTATGAACATTAACTTCATTAAGAGTGTTTTCAGAAAAGCCTGCGTTAAATTATGTTCCTAATTGCACTATAAAGCAGAAGTAAATACAATAGGCAAATTAATGATAGTGAGTTATCGACAATCTCCCTGCAATATGCAGCAGAGTTTATCTTCACAAAACGCAGTAACTACTTGAAGTACTCCTTTTGTGTTCTTTTCCAGAGGACCTATTTGAAACCTGGACGGTAGTTTGTTCATGATTGCTTGAAGGAAAGAATTAGCAGTGGGCCAAGCTCATTAATTGTGGAGTCCTGTAGCACAATAGTTAGAGCACTCGCCTCGCAGGCAATAGACCTGGGTTCAATTCCCGACAGGGCGAAATGTTGGGCAAGTTTCCCTACTCCACTTCTCTGTTTACCTAGCAGTAAATAGGAACCCGGTTTGTTAGTCGATTGGCGGTTTGGTTTTCTGGGGGTAATAATTCGTTCAAAAAAAATTAAAATAAGAAATTGGTCACTTCAATCCACGACTGTTTGTGGGACACTGCTGAAGAAATGTGAAGTTCTTGCATCTAAACAATGAAAAATTGCCAAGTAGGCTTGCTTTGCACTTCATTCTTCAACGAGAGGATCAGGAAGTACTTAGATATAAAGAGTAAGCCCCTGGAGACTTTGGAACGTTAATTACAAGGGTTGGCATTTCTCTATGTTGACACAAACCCTATCTGGTGCCACACAGCTGCACACATTATTGTTCATTTCATAGCTAAATGGTTGCAGGTTTATTCTTTTCAATCACAGACATGTAGGGCTAACAATGAAGGAAATATTTTCCACATTTTTACTCTTAACTGTAGAAACTTTAGCTTCTAGAGACTTTAGCTGCATGGTTAGTTAGGCATGTGTGAGTAGTGTCCTAGTGGACAGACACATGCAAGAATGAGAATGGCTCCTCATTGTGTTTACCAAGTTATTACCATGTGAAAACTTGCAGTTTTTAAGTTGAAATTTACTTTCAGGAACAAGTGCAGGGGGGTTGGAAGCATTTGATTCTTAGTGCCATTTCTCATTTTCTGTGAGAATAGTTCAAACACCCAATTTGATGGGTGAGCTTTGTTCTGCAATAGTCCCTACGGAAATGTCTAGATTGGGTTTCACAGCTTGACAGCTGAGCAAGTGGATATGTAGTTCCTATCTTTCTATTCTCTTGCTTATCTAACCTGACATTTCTCCAGACTTTGTACTCTTTTTGTTGGATTGCTTCATATGGGTGAATTTAAATCACAAACTAATTTCTCTATCTCATATTTACACCATTTTCACACATTAGTTAGACTTAATCCACATGAGTAAGTGGATATGTAGCTTCTTTGAGTTCCACTCTATATGTTTTTATGGTGTATTTGCTACTGAATTATTTGTTTAATTGATATTAATTGTCACTCGTTACAATCACCACTCAGTTGAGCCAGAACATTTATTAATTATTTATTCGAAGGGAAACCATGCAAAAAGGAAAAGTAATCGCTTTTCAAATACTGTGATATGGTCAGCTTCGACTAGTTAATGGTTCTGGCCTCCTGGACAACCCTCGTGCCCTCCGTTCCACCATCAATGACCCCCCTTTCAGCCACTATGCCCAGAAACTCTGGAACACTCTTCCTCTATTCTTCCGCCTTGCCCCTTCCTTCCCCATCTTCAGATCACACCAGAAGACCTTCCTTTTCGACCGTGCCTACAGTCATGTTCTCCCCTCCCCCTGGCTCGGTTATGTTCTACCATTGTCAAGCGCTCTGGGACACTATGCTGTGTGATTGCTGCTATATAAATGTAATTTGTTGTTGTTATAAATGGTTTTAAATCTGCATTGCAAAATAATCAAGCCACTCTTACTTTATGTCTTTCTATCTGATTTTATTATTAAAAAAATATTTCCCCGAATCTTTAAACTAAATTTTATGTTTTCAGTTCAACATAAAAAATATATTTTATAAATGAAATTCAAAACTTAGCATTGCTTGCAGCAGACTGGCACAGGTTCAGATAAATAACAGATGATTGTTTATTAAAAGCCATTAGTACTGATGCTTCAAATGGTTGTGATTTAAATCCCTTCACACACTGACACCCCACTATCTCCCCAATCTCCTGTCTCCCTACACCACTACCCACTGCCTCCACTCGACTGGCTCTGGCCTCCTCCTTGTCCCCAGGATCCTCTGCCCCACCATCGGCAGCTGTGCTTTCAGTCACTGCGCACCGAAGCTGTGGAACTTTCTCCCTCAATACCCTCTCTCCCCATTTTCAGGTCGCGCTTAAAGACCTTCCTCTTCGACCTTGCCTACAGTCACCTTCCCTTTTTTCTTGGCTCGGAATTGGGCTCCGCCAATGTTTAGCGCTCCAAGATGCCGTCCGACGTGGAGGGCGCTAAATAAAGGCAAGTTATTGTTGTTCTTGTGTAAAAAAGACATCTACAGCTAATATTTGCCTGTGGCACTTTTTTTTTTGGCTCAAGGAGCTAACGTCACTCTTGGGTGAGTTCCTTTCCCATCTAGAGTAATCTTATTAATCTTCACATTTGCTCAGCACCAGGGGCATCATTTCCTTGCTTTAAAAATATGACTCATATTATAATAGCACCTCGTTCAGCAGTCTTGAAATTAGCCTCGAATATAGTGTAAAAAAAATGGACACTGTCTGAAATCATTGTGCTTGTTTTACTAAAGATGTCAGTGATGTGCCTCTAAGAGGTATGTTTGCAGAAATCTGTGTTCTATTTGAGTAAATCATGCATTTTTGTGATGTAATGTCATGGGTCATGCAGCCTTGTCACTTAATGTTACTGCACTCTGCCTGTCACATGCTGGAAGGTAAAGTTTGTGGATGCAGTATTTTCATATTTAGTGCCATGACTGAACAATCACACATGATATGCCATGAGGATTGTGCATTAATAGGTTCTTAAGGATGTGATCTCTGTCCCCAAAAAAGGCTCATCTGAAAAGTCACAAGTCACAAAGTGGGTCAAAGACAGTATCTGAATGAATGTAGAATTTGTCAAGTGAATCTTTACATTGTGGATTCCTTGTATTATACACTACACTGTATTAGGTTGTGTAAAATTAATAAAAAGGTAAAGAAAACGTGGGTTAAAATAAATAATAAATAATCCTTGCATTTGATAAGGTACCTTTCACATCGAAAGGATGTCTCAATTTGCTTCACAGGATTCATGTGGAGTCCTGTAGCTTTGTCGTTGGAGCATTTGTTCTTGCAAGCGAGAAGACCCGAGTTCAATTCCCGGGCAGGGCGAAACGTTGGGCAAGTTTCATTGCTCCACACACTTCTGTTTACAACAACAACAACAACAAAATTACATTTATAGAGCGCCTTTCACGTCGGGAGGACATCCTGAAGGCTGAACAGTCAGGTGTCGGGGCCCGAGCAGGGGGGAGGGGTGGTGTAGGGGTGAGGAAAGGTAGAGAGGTGGGAGGGAGACTAAAGGCACAGTCGAAGAGGAGGGTCTTGAGACCGGCCTTGAAGGAGGCAAGGGAGGAAGCGAAGGGAAGGGACCGTGGGTTGGAGTTCCAGAGTGTGGGGGCAAAGAGGCTGAAAGCCCGGCCACCGATGGTAGGGCAGGTCAGGCGGGAGATGTGGAGCAGGCCGGAGCCCGCTGAATGGAGGAAGTGGGCAGGTTGGTAGGGAGTCAGCAGGTCAGAGAGGTAGGAGAGAGCAAGGCCATGGATGGCCTTAAAGGTGAGGATGAGGATCTTGAACTCGATCCTCTGGGGGATGGGGAGCCAGTGGAGTCGGGCGAGGGTGGGAGTGATGGGGTCACGGAGCCTGGTGCGTGAGAGTACATGAGCTGCAGAGTTTTGGATGATCTGCATCTTGTGAAGGGAAGAGTTGGGAAGGCCAATGAGGAAGGAGTTCCCATAATCGAGCCTTGATGTGACAAATGCGTGGGTGAGGGTTTCGGTAGCCTGAGGGGTCAGGCAGTGGCGGAGT